AATCCTCAGAAAAATCAACTAGAAGTTGAACATGAATTATTGAAACCACCACAACAAAATCGCGAGCAACAACGCCCTTCATGGTTCCAGCAATCAATACAAAAAAGCTGTTGAACAACGGTCAATATATTAGGAGTATTACACAGTATTCTAGAATATTGAATTCCGAGGCGAAAAACTAACAAAATCCCTCTCCAGCTATAAAGGGGCAAAATAAATGTATGCATGTATGTAGCGATTGTAAGTAAAAATTCTAGAAAGTCTTGGGTATCGTGTGGTAAAAACCGGTAGTGCTACCCTTTCCATTCTGGAGTTATTCAAAAACTGGCAGAGTCTGCCACATTTCGCGTTCCAAACTCAGCCTTGAGAAGCACTTTCGTTGTGGTGAAAAATTACACGTATATTCTTGATCAGCTCGACAAGCTCTATCCAACCGTGTATACATATCGCGAAAATATATTTTACTGCATTTCTGAATTAGCGGCACCTTAAATAGAACACAAAGGCAGATAAAATCTGATAAGATCTAGCCGGAAGACCATCATCCTGCTGCCAGAGAAATGCTAAAGGCAAATCTAAACATTCAGGTTGAAGAGGTGAATTTAGACATTACCGTGCTAAGCATTTAAATGACTATCAATTGGAACTACTACTCAGAAAAGTTGTGCGGAAATCGTTCTACATGCGCGGAAATGTAGAAGCAAAGAGAAACTGTGAAAATACTTTATGCGTCAAGAATCTAAGTGTCAGAACCCACAGGGTAGGCAATACGCTCTTTCTTGCTAATGCTGTTCAAGCCAGTTAACATTCAACGAAGAAGAATGAGATAGATTAGGCTCTTTCATACTAAAACCAAAAAAGCAAACAAGCAGCGAAAGAGCTCTAGCAACGAACTGATATTAGCGTCCAGAATTTAGGGATACGCTTCTCTGGAAGTCCAAGCGTGAATCTTTTCTTCACACGCAGTAAACATTACCTTACCAGTAAAACTCACAGACGAACTTCAAAACACAACAGCTTTCTCAGTTTTATTTTGAGATCAAATTGTAGTCACATGTTGAACCAAACCTGAGAAATACAACGCGGAGCGAACTTAGTCAATCTAAGGGGGAAATTTTTCTCGAACAAACACATCACAGACTATCGAAAAATTACATTCAACAGTGTGGCAAAAGATAACATGAAGATTTTTAAGGGTGGAGTGAATAGTAGAAAGTCAAGATTGCTGTGTACTCACTCTGAACTGTCATGAGCTTTCCATTGAAAATGACTTCTTTTCCTTTGTAGGTAAAGATTATGGTGTGGTGAGAGTCAGAGCTTCGTATGGACTGGACTGAGTCCATAGTTCAGTCCAGTCCATATGGACTAGACTAAAAATTTTTTGAGTTCATGGACTTGGACTGGGCAAACTTTCAAGACCATGGACTCGTCTGGACTTAGAAAAAAGTTTTGGATTCAATTGAATCGGCGAAAAACGAGTTGTTTTCGAATTGTGGACTGGGTTGGACTACTTTTTTAGAGTCCATCGACTGAAAAACCTGTTTTTCATGGACTCAGATTGGACTGGAATAGAGTTTTTGAGTCGATGGACTGGGCTGGACTCAGAATTTTGAGTCCATACGGAGCTCTGATAAGAGTACCAGACAGCCGAGAAAGACTAAAAAACTGACTGTATCATGTTCTCGAAGAAAAGTCCGAGTAAAACATGGTGTAATCAAGTCTAAAAAACGAAGCTTGAGCGATTTACAAAGCGGAAAACTGCTAATGCATGACTTTCTTATTTCTTAAGATATGCACATTGTTTTAGATATTTCTCCCCTCATGCTCATACTTCAAGCAACTCAAGCGCATGAGACAAGAAAGTCAAGCACATACCTCTAGCGTTTTGGATCAGTAAGAAATTCATGTGCATGGAGACAAATCTTGAAGTATGTGCTTGAACGAACCCACAAAATACGAAACACTGTGAAGGAAGTAGCATGTATCTTTGTGATTTCTCGCAACATCTTGTATTTTACTGTTTATGTTAGGAGACCGAAATGTTTCACAAAACATGCTTGAAAAAGTTGCTACCATACTCTGAAAAGTATAAAAATTAGAATTATCACCAGAATAAACAGTATATATTTATAAACCTTCTTAATAGTCCTTTTCAGATATCTGCTATGAATTTCGTCGGATTGATTCACAAAAGGAAATCGGCTTCGTGGTATAGGTTTTTGTAAAAAATCACATACAGGTTTCCATCCATCTTTCACATTTAACACCAACAGACGATGTTTCGGTACAAGTTTCTGCACCTGTTTAATGTGTGCATCATACATTTTAATTGCGTAGTCTTTCTTAGTACCTTGTTTATGGAATGTACCCTCGCCAATAATCGCGTTGTTTATACGAGTGATATCATCATGAAGATATAGTCGTATTAGATTAGCCAAACGACCCATAAAACTTGTTCCGTAGAATGCATCATAGAAGCTTACAAACCAACTCTCACTACTATCACGGATAGTTAAGATGACTTTTGATTGCGGGTATTGGTTCATTAATTCATGGTAAAAATAAGCGCCGGGCCAGTCAACCGTTGCTGTATAGCCTTGTGGAGCAAATATGCGGTCGTAATCAAACGACTGACTATTATTATAAGCGTCTAACCATAACTGAGAGTGAAAATTATTTTCAGGTTTCAAAATTTCTCTCATGTGGTAACAATTATATCCAAGTTCATCTAACGCTTGTTTTAAGCTTAAAGTGCCAGTGCGCCCAAAACCAGCACCAATAACTTCAATTTGATTCGACGAAGATGGCATAATTCAAGAGCTCTGTGAAAATCTAAAATGAAAATTATAACATCAATCATTGATTTTATAGTTCTGACTAGATTTTCGCTCAGAATCATTAATATGAGCAGGCGATGATCAGCTCATTTTCTGTTTAACAAATATATATATAAACGTCGTTCGTCTTATTAGGTTATGTAGCTGGTGATGACTCGAGTCTGAGTTGATATTATTAGATAAAATAATGAATTTAGTTAGTTCTTCGTACAAATATTATTGAGGAATATGTGTTGAAGGATATGTGTAAAAAGTCTGTATCTATGATTCAGAAAAGTGCGTTCTTTTCGTTGGATGTGTATATGATAAGAGACGGAAGCTTGTTAAAGATGTTAGTAGTACCACTATAAACAAAGGAGTCAATAAGTATATTCTGTTTTGTTACTTACAGTAATGGTAGAAGTGTATAGAGATTGAAAGTTTTTTTCTCTCAGTCGAGCAAGCGTTTAGAAGCTGGACTCCTGACTAGGTTCACTTTTTATTGCAGATTAGAGAACTGTTATGAGAAATTTCAATGATTTAGAAACTCCTTCACCCATGCCTAGTGTACTCGACGCTCATGGGGTTGGGAAAACCGACGATAAACACTGGCTGTGCGTCACCTCCGGTGAGAGAATATATGTCGGATTAACGTGACCCCAAATCCTATTTCTATGGAAGTGATAGATCAGAATTTCCCCAGCTCTATGACTTTCCTTGTCCCGATTCTCTAGTCCAATGGTAAAACTTTGTCCAGGAGAAAAGTATCATCGTGGTTCTGGCGAAAACAACGAAAAGATGTTGCAGGAGGTGGGGGTCTGTTTGAGAGATATGAATTTGACAGAGTGTGTTTATTATCTTACGGGAAGCATATGTAGTAATATTAATATTACAAGTGAATTTACTAAAAACATTTGCAGACTTTTATGAACTATATCTGAAGGTTATTTTAGTTCTTCTTATATGTTTTCCATAACAAAAATGTAAATAAAAACATAATTTGCTTGTAAATTCGAATGTGCCGAGGACCTCTGAAAGGGCTTCGATCGAAATAGAGAAGAAGGAAATAACTAAATAATTTACGACTAGCAATGTTTTGGAAAAATAGCAAACGACTTATAGTGAGATCGCACTTCACACTGCTGTAAATGGTAGTTTTATTCTGATTGCACAGACAAGGGACCAGCTACCGGAGGTGATGCGTAATTTAAGAATCGAGATTGAATTTTTGGAGGTTTTACAATGCTGATTATTCAGTTTCTCGGAGTCACACAGTAAATACTTTAAGCTTTGGGAAAGTAACTGTTCAACGTTGAGGAATAGTTTTTGAAACTTTTCATTCAAAGGTTCATTTTTGAAGCAAAAGCACAACTACAGTACGTGCTGCGGTAAACTGATTTGCTTGCTTCGTCCTCAAATCATCTTTACTTCTTCACCCGAAGAATAAGGAGATCGCAGGCCGTGATTTTCATCTTACCAGCTGACCAGTATTTTATGAGCGCTATATGGAGACTCAGTTTGAAGCCGGCAGGCTTTATCATTACCAGCAGAAATATTTATGCGTTTTTCTACACACTCAGAAAAAAGGAAATAAATGTATTCGTATGTATAGATGTTGGTTTTTTATTACGCGACATGTGCATGCTGATTGTAGTCTACGTGCAACTAGCACTTTTGTGTATCTTTCAAGGTAACAATTCATGCTTGAATAATTCCAGCGTGTTAGCTATTTATATATAAACTTTTTGTACATTAAAAGTGGGTTCGAGGGTGTGTCCGAAAAACGTGTGTAAAATCCACCAAGATCAAGTATCTAGCCGACTTTATCTTTATCAATACAGACAAAACTGTATGCGTCTAGATAGGCAACCAATTAATCGTAAAGAATTCGCTCTAAGATTTTACTAAGAATTAATAACAATGATGCCTGGCAATAGTTGTTAACAGAGGCTTTGACTGCTTTTTTATCAACTCAGACCACATCCCCGTGTGGCCAGCTAACGCTGCTATGTAAAGGAATTCCGTAACGTTTATTTATCATTTTGTTTTGTGTATAAATCGTCAACCGAACGATGCAAACAGCAGCGACAAGCCTTAAATTGAAGAAAAAACTGATATGAACATTTTAAAATGCGTCTCGGCTCGGTAACATATCTCGTTTAACTATTGCGGAGAGCAAAATGTGTTTCTATTAGTAGAGAAAATAACAAAATAAAATAAATTCATTACATTCATTAATCAAATTTGCTAATGTTTTACTGGTTCTAAACTTGCAATACTGTTCAGAAACAACGTGAAGTCATAGATATCGACTATCGTGCATCCAATCAACCCATGCTCGACGTCGTCAGAGAATCTTTATAGAATCTGCAGAGAACTTTTCCAGAAATAGTGGGATGAAAATATTTGGATACATTTGGTACAATGGGCTTTCATAGAAAATCAACTATAAGTGCAGTTTTTTATTTCTAGAACCCGTTTGAAACGCATTTTTTGAAAAAGTTGGATTTTGATAGTAAAAACCGGGTTTTGAACTTTCCGAAAACCGGATTTTTATTTTTTTTAAGCAAGAAACGTCTTAAACACAAATTTCTAAAGATATGGTTTTGTAGACAATTTAATTCTCTACAAAATGGCGCATTTGATTTTGATTTTGGGCGCTTTACAAAAATTGTACATAGCTGGACAGTTTCCAACTTACTGTACCGTTTTTTAGCTACCCTTTTGATGTAGCAACTTGATTCTTGCGTAAAACAAAAATACACAAAAGACAAATATTTATGAAAATCAAAATTTTCTGCCACTATTAAGGGCTTCAAATATGTTAGACGAAAAAGTGCGTAACGCCTTGACGGACACATTTTGGGCTTTTCAGTCCAACTCAATGACCTAGATGAAACTTTTCTTTTACCATTCAAAAGCCCGTCCTGAATTCTATAACTTTTATGCTGAACGTGATTCATTGCGAGCTCTACCTTCGTCCGAAAATTCAATTTTATATGCGTCACTCGAAAAAAAAGGGACTTTTCCGTAATGCCGTGACGCGACAGTAAAATCCTTCTCAAAGCCCGACGCTTAATCCAAAAACTTTCGTTTTTAGATCATAAATAGGGTTCAATGAGCTGCATCGGATGACATTTGAATGAACTTTCTAGCCTCTTTAGTTTCCGCGATAATCAAATTTTAATGCGCGCCGTGATGTTTGGACAAGCCGTATGGCGGATCCAATGGCAAATCTATACGCCCCAAATCTTTATCTTTTAAAGTGCGCTTTATAGCAAACTACAAATTCGATTAAAATTCAAAGAAACAAGGTCTCTTAACTGCTCTAAAAAAGAAAGACAGAGCAACTCTTTTTTAATTTCTCAGCGTAACTTTAGACTACTACAATAGTAATATATGAAACTAAATTTTGAAAGAAACTCATGTTGTATATTAAAAGTTATAAGTAGTCATACTGCGAAGTGTAAACGAGGCACGTAAATAAGTATGTGTATATAAAGTCAGGTACTCAACTAACCAGTAATTCATGTGGTCCAATATATATATATATATATATGTGTGTATGTATTGGAAGTCATGAGCTCGGAACACAGGGAGTCAGAAATTCATGTGCTTATATATATATATATATGTTTATGTGTATATTTGAAGTTAGGAGTTCAGGAACTCAGTAATACAGCAATTGGTTGTTTTCATGTTTAACAGAAAAGTATGTGTATTTTATACGTACGACGACGAATTTCAAGACAGAAAACGGACAGTGTGCAGAAGTTAAACGCGTTCTGAGTTAACTTTATCATTAAATGCTTGTGAAACGGTGACTGCTGTTGGAATGACCGTATCTTATATACATTTTTTGTGTTTCAGAGTGCCAATTTGATCTTTATTATAAAACAAATCATAATTCTCGTGATCAAAACGACGCGTCATGAATCGATAGGACCACGCGAAACCTGGCCACGTTCGTGTATTTGGACTTATTGTATCTCGGGACTGCGATTTGCTGCTCAATTGCCATACCGACTTTTTCAGCTGTACTTGTAAATAATCATTGTATTGTTGGAATGCTTGTTGTTTAACTAAAAACTTGTTGAAATGATTCTGTTTCATATATTCTATTGTTTCGAGAATATATGTGATCTGGCTTTCGATCATCCATATTACAGAATTATGAACCACACCAGTATTGGGTCCTACGAGAAAAAATAAATTGGGAAAATTGAGTACGGTAATGCATTTGTAGGCTTGTTTGCTATGTTTCCATTGTTCATTAATCGAAATGTCGCCTAGGCCACGAATATGTATCGGACATTCCCGAACTTTAAAACCGGTACTCCAAATAATTGTATCCAAGTCGTAGTTGTCACCATTAGTGGTTAATATTGAATGTTCATTGATTTGTTTTATGCTATCAGTAACTAATTTCAAGTTTGATTCCTGTAATGCCGAATACCAATCACTACTGAATAATACTCGTTTACAACCTAATTCCCATTTTGGTGTCAGTTTTTTTCGCAGTTCAGGATCTTTGACTTGTTTCGATAGAAAGTATTTGACCAAATGCTCACTGAGCATTTTATTTGGCCATTGATACGCAAACGATAAGACTGTTGTTTCCCTCATCCAAAAGATAATAGCGCGTATTACTTGTTGTATTAGTGGTAAACGCTCATATAGTTTTTTTTCAAAGTCGATTATTTTTCGATCTGCTACCGGAATTATCCACTGTGGTGTACGTTGAAAGACATACAACTGTTTGACTTCTTTTTGAATTACTGGTACTAGTTGTAAAGCGCTGGAAGCCGTGCCGATAACAGCGACACGTTTACCTTTCAAATCATATGTCATATCCCATTCAGCTGAATGGAACATGTTACCTTTGAACTGGTCAATGCCATTGATATCTCTAGGAATGTGAGCATCTGACAGTGAGCCGTGAGCGCTGACCAAAAACCGGCTATAGAAATGTCGTCCATTATCGATCGTCACTTTCCATTGATTTTGATCATCTAACCATTGAGCTTCTGTTACTTTTGCATTGAATTGTATTTTAGGTCTTAAATTATGTTTGTCAGTAAGATATTCTAAATATTTCCGTATTTCATGCTGGCGAGCAAATGTATGATTCCATTTTGAATAAGGTTCGAATGAAAAGGAATACAAATTTGATGGTACATCACATGCACAGCCTAAAGTAAAGTCAGATATCAAGTTAGCTGGTAAAACTCATAAGGAGCCTCTAAGCTATTGTACCCGGGTATTTATTATCGTGCCATACTCCGCCAACACTTTCTCGTCTTTCAAGTACAATGTAATCATTCATATTCAACTGTTTCAGTTTTATCGACAGTCCAAGTCCACTAAATCCGCTCCCGATAATAATCATATGATAAGGCTTCTCATCAGTACCGTTATTTTCCTCGCCATTCCATTTGACGTCAGACCTTTTTGCACGGCGAGTCACATGTGCCATCGTAAAGTAAATAAAATCGAAAATTAATCCAAGTATGACGAATACTGAAAATACGCAACGGGCAGATACAACGACTAAAAATAATTTTGATCGCGAAAGTAGTACGTCAGTTAAGCCCATTACTGGATTTCAAGAAGTTGTCACCTATGAATAAGTGTAGAACAAAATAATTTGAAATTCGGCATTCTGAAATAACTTGTTTATCTCTGTCTATTGTAGACGGAGAGCTCAGATGAGGGAGGGGAACATACCCTGAGATGTCACTATTTAGGACGAATTTCAACTTTTTCATCTGCAGTGTGCAAAGCCGCTTGGCATGTTAGCTTTACAATATCCCCTTACAAGAAAAAATATCTGACCTGGTCAATAGGGCTCTGTTCTGGGGTACTAGAACTCTTAAATGAAATGTACTGCATGCAGCTAGATAGATCACTTCAGGTAGTATTAAAAAACCCATTTGCACAGATATCAATAGCTCTAACTTTATTTGTCAGAGGATTCGAACTTCGAGTGCATATGTCTGTGACATAATCCTAAGGTCTTAGTTCTTCAACGTAGTTTTTAAATATACCGCTTTAATCTGTTCACAATAAAATTAAAAATCATAACTATTTTTTACAAAGTAAACGGACCAATATCGGAGTTAAAAAAGTGCTCACGTAGTATCAACGAAGAACTGTGTTTAGAAGACCACTCGTCTAGACCGATCACCAAGAAAATTTCTCATAAATAACACCACTAAGATCAGTCACTCAGAGACACAAGGTCATCTTTAGAGCATATTGAAGTGTGGCTTTTTATTTTACTCTGCACGGACTAAAGCGGTTTATTTGAAACCTACTTTGAAGAACTAATTTAGGATTATGTTATAGACTCAACTCTGACGTCCCTCGCAAAACGTGTGTCTTCTTCTAATAAAATCATTACTGCACTCTCATCACGCATGAGCAACTTTGTTAACCATATCCAAATATAATCTTTAATAATATTATCGCAAATTATTAAAGAGTATATTTGGATACAAAGTTGCTCATGCGTAATGAGAGTGCAGTGATGATTTTAATTCGATATATGATGATATAATTCGATATCCCGATTGGGATATCAAGGAAATCTACATCCCAATCAAGATATCAAGAATTTTAATTTTTAATTTGTAAGAAAATGATAAATTTTAATTATATGAGAGCTGAATATTCTTCTCCTTCTTCTTTATTCCCCCTCTCTAATGTTCCTAGTAGTGTCTTTTGTTTTCTCCAGCTAATCAAAGAGATACAAATATCGTTTTAACAGACGTAAATAGATTTCTTCTATTAACCTACGATGCAAAAGTAATTGCGAAAATCTTCACCCATGGTTCTCCGCTCAGGGTGTTGTAACTCGATCTTGCTACTACAGAATTGATGCATATTTTTCGTGATGAGGACGTCCATATTTTCCATCTTAGTTTACACAACCACTTCCTTTAGCTTTTCACCGGTGCGAAACATTTATCAGAATTGCTATAGTTCATCGAGACTCTGTAATTTGATTTAGTTCTGAAAATGGGATTAATTCGTATAATCATTCGAAAATTACGTGCCAGCTCCATGCCGGACCAAACTTGATGAAACTAAGCTGGTATATGCAAAATTTCAAGGAGAATCCTACAGCGGGCTTCTTATAATTCTTTTTGAGTTTTTCAAGTGTCGCCACAATCTTTTTTTATGTACTAAACGTATATTCAACTATTTAGTAATATATGCTACTAATAAAAACCGAAAAAACTCAACAAGTGTAGTAATTTCATTCTCCTGACCTTATTTTTGAACTTTTTCTAAATATATTTCTCTCAAGGTGTAGCTGAGAATCTCAGTAATCGAATCAAGCATGAATTTTCGTTTTATCATTCAAAATTCTACACCGACACATACGTGTAAAAGTTCGAAGATTCACTTACACATCTGAGAAGTCCAGACTTTTGCTAGACTGTTAAACTTTTATTAGACTAGTAGACTTTTAGACTATTAGACTGTTTCACTTTTGTTAGCCTATTAGGCTAATAGCCTTGCGGAGAGTGAGCAACTAGCGTAAGTCACGTTGCCAAACTCATCGGTAAACTGAAAAGTCTAATAGTCTAACAAAAGTCTAAAAGCGTAATAGTCTATGTTATTATAACATATGCGTAATAGTCTATGTTATTATAACATATGCGTAATAGTCTATGTCGTGCCATAAGGGCGAACATCATAGTGAAGGTTATTGCGCAAGAATATATTCAAGGTTATTGCGCAAGAATACTCAATGCTATGGTGTAAGAATTTATTCAAGGTTATTGCGCAGAGTCTACTCAAGGTTATCGCACAGTATTTCTTATATAAATAGATCAATTTTATTGTTAAGAGGATATCTTTTTCATTTGTAAATTTTTGTTAGGTGAGAAAAATCGGACGGGAACCTAACAGTGGTGCACTAGCCGGTTTGCTGTCAATTCAACATCACAGTAAGTACAATCAAATCAACCACATAAATCAGAATGCGACAAGGTTATTCTCAACAACAAATCAAACAGCAGTTCAACTGAAAACCACGTTATACAGATGATGAACAGCAGCCGCTCTGGCTTTGGAACCCATGCCACACTCAACAACAACGTTCTGCCACAAAAGAAAAATCACATTCAAGTCTTAAATCTGAAGAACACAATCTTCACTCATTTACAGGTGTTTGGGATGGAACATTTCACATTAATCAAATAGTGATGATTTATGATCAAAAATGCACAACAATTCGTGGTGCTGATTTTTTACAAGCGACAGTATTAGAATTAGATCAACAGCGATGTTTAGTTAAATTCAATTACAATCAGTTAAGCGATTATGCTGGATTTGATGAGGTATTTCAAATGCCATTTCAAGGTTTAGAAGATGATGATATGGATAATGACAAACTGGCATGTTTGAAACGTATTCAATCAATGGAAATTAATCCGTTATCAGTTGTG